CAGTGCGTCTCGAAGATTCATCCCCGCGATTATGCATGACCATCTCAGAGGTCTTTTGCTGACGTCGAGCATCGTATGGCGAGCGGCGTTGAATAGGTTTCGATGGAGCTCCGTAGATCTCGCGAGCGGATCGTTGAGAGTATCCAGAGACTATCGCCGACCCGTGCATGCCGTCGATTCCCTTCATCGGTCGGGGCAGTCTTAGAGACGGCGAGGGCCTTCGTGGGATGGTAGCCATTCCCATACGTTGTCGTTGACGGTGAATTGCCGCGGCCTTCTCGACTCTACCCGAAGTCGGCCGTCCACCGAATAGCCTGGTGAAGGTGATTGGTCCTCCAACTTGACGCCGTGCCTTATTAGTGTGATCGAAGCGGCGACAATACAGACTCATCGGCCGTTTTCTAAGCTCGATGAAGAGCTCATCGAGGTCCATACGGTCGCAGGCCTTGCCGTTTATGCAGTGTAAAATGTCTCTTCTAGCGACACCACATTCAGCACCGTATTTTCCCTCTTCCACCACCGTTACCAGAAAGGGGGCTTTGTCAGTTATCTCCAGTCCGAGAACAAACGGAACCGGCGCATCAGCAGCCAGATGGACTGCAACTGTATGGTGACGCGAAGTGAGGAACTCGTTTTCTACAAGAAGACTGTCCCTACCCTCCGACGTCACCATCCTGTGGGCAACTCGTCTTATACGGTCTAAAATATTCGACACGTTGGGCCATCTGCCCGACTGTAGCTTAGAGAACACCACTTGCTGGTGTGTACCATTCACAACGGTTATCTCCAAGGCGCCGATACGAGGGTCCTTGACATCAACGATCTCGCCGACCTCGGGGAACGCTTGACTAATGCGACCAGCGATGTCCATGAACTGTGTGAAGTATTTCTCCTCGTTGTGATGAACATACCATGGGTGTCTGTAGCATCGTTGGCAGTACTCAATGAGGACCTTCATCGTGCCCTCATACTCCCCAAGGGACACAACAGCTGAGGTCTCCTTGTGCTTGTCGGCGGAGGGTACCAGTCTGGGTAGACTAACTGCTGAGTCGGGCCTAGGGCTTTTGACCATTGAAAGAGTCAACTACAGGATGGGTGAATCACTAGTGATTTCGCATGGGAATGGAGCTCGGGAGGACTCTCGAACTGTCGCTTGCAACTACAACATCCACCATTTGCTGGTATTCATCACTCGCATACCGCCACTTGACGTGATGATGACGGTGACCGGGGAGGTCAATTGACCAACGCAATTCTCAAGGAGGTCCCGAGTTAATGATGATACTAGTTTCAAGTGAATTCAGCAATGATCCTCAATCCCTGGTCGCCTATTGCAGTAATGATGCAGTCTTTGATGACGAGGAGAGCATCCGTCTAAACCAATCAGCAACAACAACACCAACGCTCCATCGCCGGTCATGATGGTTACAATACTAGTGAAAAATAATATCAGAAAAAAGGCGTCGGCTGCATACGAGATCGTGGGAAAAGGGACGAGCAACTATCAGTGTACATTTGCACATCGGGAAATCTAATAATGCTATAATAAGGATAAGCTCAGGTCCTCGGGCTGGTAGTGGTGGTAGTCGTCGTCGGTGTCTCAACCCCCTCACATGCATGGTCACTTTCCTGCCACCATGGCGACGCCAACACAGCTTCAATGGACAGGAACCTGAATATGCATGAGTAAGGACATCAACGACTGAGCGCGAATCGAGAACATACATCCCGGGCTTATCGCATGCCGTGAGTGTTCCTCTGAGTAAATCTCGTAATGACTTAACCATGTCGATCCCGCGAGGTGCAACACCGAATCTATTACTAGAACTGGGAAGTCGTTTCACCAGAGTTCTGACCTGATTAATCAACTATAGAAAATTCGGAAAAGCTGCGACTGCTTACCCCTCGTTCGCGATAAAGTCGATACTGTGGATCGTCAGCGCAAGCTAGCTGCCACGGAGAGTTCCAGAGTAGATCGAATATCATCAATCCCACCGCCCATGTATCCTGTCGTTCTGCTGACCAATGCTTCTGAGAGA